CTCAGATCAGCTTCTTCACCCTCTGCCTCCACTTTCTATTAATCCAGTCAGCATGGCACCAGTTAGATAATTCTCCTCCTGAGAGGAATCAAAATGGCTACCACTGTTGACACTGGCCGGCCAAACTGAAAGTCTCCACTCACCATTTCTCCACACAGCTCTCTCCCTAAAACAAATCTCCATCAAGCTATCCAACATTCAAGCAGCCCCAGCCCTTCACCCAATGGCTGCCCATGTTGGCAACCTTGTTTCCCCACTAAGAACAAATAAAATCCACTGGTCTGCTGCACATAGATCTCCTACTGCCCCAAACTCAACTCTCCTTGACCACCCTGCTGTCTGTCTCACCTAACTGAGACCCCCCCACGCACTATTTCTCTACCCTCTCTAAGAAGGTACCTATTAAACTCACCACATCAAGATCAAACAAACTCACTGGATGCTTCTGTGCTCAAAACTAGAGGAGTTTAAACCTGCTCACAGCATGAAGGTCCCCCACTTTGTCTTGGATACTTCCCTTTTTAATGCCCCTTCTTTTAGGGCTTGCATGTCTGTTCTCACCCTGACTGATTAATTTGTTTCAAGGACTTTCATACCAACAGAGTTACAATCATCTCTCAGGCAGTCACCAAGGACATTACCAAGGGAGCCCTCCTTCTCCTGTCTCTAAGATGCCCCATCACTGCCCTCATCAGCCAGAAGCAGCCAGACAACTCAACACTCACTTTTCTTTTCCAACTATGGATTCTGGAATGAAGAAATGAGACCACTGCCATCATAGCCAGGTCATGACTAGTTTAAACCTCAAGATTTATGGGATCTTGTCAAGAGTCAAAAGATGAGGAAGGGAGAACTGCCAAACCCACAAGATGACCAATATTTATAGTCCCTTGTTAAAGAAATGACACCCAGCAGACAAACACATGGAAGCACAACAGCCCAGTGGTCAAAGGTTACAAAGCAACCCCAACATAATCCCCTCCTTCAAATCCTATAATAAACCATTGCTTACCAGTGCTCCTTCTCACTAACTGTAGAGCTCATTGCATATCCTAGAATGGTGTGCACAAGAGCTTTATAGTGAAAATATCATCATTATGTGAAATAGAAAGACATTGTTGACATCTGTGTGCATACATGTATGTATACAATACACACATATTAATGAGGCACTTACCAGTGATCACATTTAACATAAGTTTAAAGTAATTGTTAAGCCTTGAGACTTGATACATGTGAAGAGCCAGGAAGGAAACACCTGCTGTCTTCTCTAAATACATCTAGATTGCTCTTATTCATTTTCAGAAAACTGAATTTTTCTTTTTCATGAATTATAGATTATATACTCCTACCCAATATTGTATTTCTTAATGTCTAAGCAATTTCATAAAGTCTTCAATATAAAAATGGTTTACAATCCTTAAATTGCAAATAAAGCATGAACTATGAGAGGACTCTTACAAGAGAGAAAATAAATCATAACAATCTAACTCATTTTCTGATTTCCCAAAAGCAATACCCCTAAATCCGATTAGTTCTTTAAAGAAAGAAATCTTACTTTTAGGTTCTCCATTTCTAACTTAATACTGAGAATTTAAAATAAAAGAAATAAAATAAAGAAAAAAATCAAGTTCACTTAGAGTAGCTATTGTCTTCTCCCTCTCTTGTGAAGAGGGAGTAGAGATAGCTAAAATTTCTTGGATATCTGGAAAACAGCAACTCTGAAATGCTGGAGCCTTAAAAGACATTGTCTTATATAACTACATGCTTTTTGAAAGGTATTATTGTCTTTATTTTACAAATGAGAAAATGGGAATGCAGTAAGGTAAAGTAAATCTGAGAGCTCTCTTGAGAATGATGAGAAAGGGAGACTTAATATCATTTGTCATCACATTCTACATTGGGCTCTGTTACACTGCCCAAATAGAGACACTCATTTTGGTTTAGAGAACAATTGTGTTTGTTCTTTAGGCACACCATTGTGACTCACACTTCCCTAGTGTCCAACTGCCCAGTGATGGGGAGGAACTGTGACACGGAAGGGATGTGGACAACTGTAACTATCATCTCTGTCCCCCACCCACCTGTGTCTCATCACCTCCCTTCATCCTGGTCCCTGGGCCAGCTGCCACTTAGTTTCCCTCCATTTGTGGCCTTAGGAACTTCCATGGTTCTGCTTACCTTTCAGCCTGGTTTTAGGCCCCACAGCTGAAGATGGATTTTTTTTTTTTGTTTTGGTACCAGGGATTGAACTCGGGACCTTGTGCTTTCGAGGCAGGCAGCAGAACCACTGAGCTAAATCCCCAGCCCCTGAAGGTGGATATTGTTACCACTATAACACCAACATGGACCTGCTCAAACCTCATGTTGTTCAGAGATCTTAGTCGAAGTGTTGTGTTCTGCCGAAAGATGGGCCTTCCACAAGGAAGTCTTTTTTAAAAAGTTTTTTCCACATTGCTTTAATAAAATATACCTTTTCCTTTTCACACTGTCTTTGAGTTTTCACAATTCCTCTATCTCAGAATTTGGCACAAATTCCCTTGGGAGCTTGTTTAGAAGAGAGTTAAAGCTACCATGTAGTGTTGAAAGCCAATTGTCCTTTATTCCTGGTCACAAGCACTGTCCTTAAACCAAGCCTGGACACCTTGATATTCTTCTATTGCAAAGCACTCTCCCTACCAAGGCATGGTGTCAGAAGTTGGACCATGAGATTGCTCCTACTTTTTATCCTAAAAGCTACGTAGTCTTAAGACTGGGCAGCCGCACCACCTTGTCTCCTCATTGGCTCTTCCAGAATGTTCACGAGACCACAGGCAAATATTGTAATAGGACAATATTGCTATAATCAGCCTCCCCTCTGTCATTCCAGGGCAATACACCTCCTGTTGAGCCATAGTTAAGGAAATTAAGGGGCCTTATCTTTCAACTATCAATTTAAAATTTTTGATTTTGTTTGGTTCCTGCATATACAGTACTTATGCAAGGTATTATTTGCCCCTGTTTTAGAACCAAATATCTGTTTATATCTTTATCAGCCATAGAAATCATTACCTTGAATTGGTAATCCAAGAACTGGGTTCTGCCAAAAGAAGGACTCCTGATGCAAGTGACAAGGAATGTTGTTACAAAGCAGTTTATCTGAGTGGTGCTGCTGGAAATCCTGAGTGAGAGAGGGAGAATGAGACAGAAAAAGAGGGAAAGCCAATAAAAGAAATTATTAAGCAGGTCTCACAGGCTATCCCGAATGTGGGTTCAAATCACATCCATGTTGGGTGCCAGTTATCAGAGATGTTATCAAAAGCCCTGGCCGTAAGTCTCAATCTCCTGTGAGACAATATGATGCAAGCTGACAAGAACAGAAGACAGAAACAAGATTTGGAGAGCTGGATCTTGGGCTGATCCAAGCTACTCTGGGCAGCAAAGACAAAAGGCACCAAAGATATCCAGTGTTTATTCATTACAACTGTGGGAAGAAGGGGAAGAGGACACTTGGTAATAGCGGGTATCCAGGCAGGATGTAAAAGGGAGGCACTAGCGTATCTTGTTGAATAGAACAAATGGGAAAATCAGAGGGAAAGAATTTAGTTGGAGTTAAGCTGACCTTGCCTGGAAGTGAACTCAGCAAGGCCCTGCTACTTCACGGACAAAGACTTAAGTCCCTGTAGCAGCCATTAGCAGAAAAACTATACTTACTCAATTCTATCTGACATGCTCATGTCAGTCACGTAAAACTTTGGTTGGACTCCTAATATAATTCAGCCAAATTATGGAGGAGCAAGAAGTTTGTGCCACTTATAGCCTGCTAATACTGGGCAGAGATGTCTGCTACAGGTTACAAGTATGGGTAAATGAGGCCAAATCCCAGCAAGCATTCACTGAGGAACCATTTATAATGTTCCTTAGAATTGTCCTATGAAATCTGTTGGGGAATAAGTTGAATTTACCCAGTAACTCTTGTCCCCGCCCCTCAAGGATGTTTCACACACACACACACACACACACACACACACACACACACACACAGCAGTTGAATAGCTTCAGAGAAATCCCTTGAAGCAGACAGGCTAAGTAATTCAGTGGGCACTAGCAGTGAGAAGCCATCAATGGGCACCATTTCTGTCTACCATAGGTGGAGCTCAAGTCAGAGTCACAGCAGGAATGTGATGTAGGGCATCAAGAGGTGCTTCCGCATCTTGATACATCTCTGTCCCCCTTGCTTTTTTGAATCCTTGATACCCAGCACAGCATCTGACTAAAGGCAGAAGCTCGATCCTTGCATGGATGGATGGATGGATAATGGGTGGATGGATGCATAGATGGATGGAAGCAGTTAAATCAAAGAAACTTCTCTCATATAAGATTTGCGTTCATCTAACAGTTTTTCTAATTCTTTTTTATGGCCTGTTTTGCTAACTGTAGTTTTTACCATTTGTATTATTGTAGTACCCAAAAGCTGTAGTAAAAGCTTCTAAAAAGATTTCTTAGGAATAATAAAATTTCTGTATAAAAAATAAAATTGCAAAATAACTTGTTTTCCTTTTGCTTGTTTTATTACTGACTTTTCACCATAAAAGGCACCAGAATATCAGTTATCATAAAATAAGAGCAGAAAACACTAACTTTGTTGAGCAAGGTTCCAAAGAAATTAATCACATTTTCACAAATGTATTAGACCAGTTGCCTGATTAAATTGTAATTTGGCATACAAATGACTTTGAAAAATAAACTCAATGGAGATTTAATGATATGAGATTCTAAAAATTGATGTTAACACAGAAATAATCTAGTTCAATAATTTCAAATAAACAGAGAGTCTCAGAGCATTAGCTGAAGTTGAGAACTCAGACAGGTCTAAACATGTCACAGTAGCCATAGACAGGCTTACCAGAGCACAGGCCCTGAGGAGGGCCAAGGAGCATCACAGTGAGAGATGCTCACAGTTTCTAAGGAAGCTCCAGACCTGAAGCCTCCAGGACCAGAAACTCTTATCTTATCCCATCGCAGGCCACGTTCCCAGAGGTGAGAATGAAGAGTCCAGCTGATTCTGTGGGCAAGGGCTAAGCTCTGAGAGGGAGGGCGGCTGAGGGTCCAGCGTGATATGCATCACTCAGCTTGTCTTCCCATCCAGCTCTCAGAAGCTCACGCCAGACACCAGGGAGAGGAAAGCTGTAATGGGAAATTAAATAAAGAGCTATGATCACTAGGAGCACTCAAGGAACTCAGAACAGATAGCTCTACCTTGGATAGGAAAAAATATATTTCCCCTCAGAACTAATAACTTTGTCACTGTTGGGAGAGTGGAGAGAGGGGGTTCAGTTGGATGGGGCAAGGAACCACACCAGGCATTTCTAGGAAGAAGATGGTGGGCATGATGGGACCTACAGATAAGCAGGAACATCAAGAGAAGGAGGAGGCAGAATGGGATTATAAGTAGGAGAATCATAAAGGGCATTTCCTCATTCTCTTACCACGTGGTTGCCCATCGTAGGCCAAACCCGTTAGTTTCACTGACACTTACTGAGCAACACTGATTTTTGTTTCCTCCCCAAGGGCAAAGTTTCTGTAAACCTGATTCCATAAAACATAAATGAAGCTGAGCATGGTGGCCTACTCCTACTGTACTCAATAGGCTGAGGCAGGAGGATGGCTTGAGCCTAGGAGTTCAAAGTAAGCCTGGGCAATATAGAGACTCTATTTCAAAAAAGAAATAAACTGCAAGGAAACAATCATTTATTTTAAAAATACAAATGAGACACAGTATTAAATTTTTCTTCGTATTTGTCAAGGTAAAATAATAAGAAAAGGGTTTTTTTTTTGGTACCAGGGATCGAACTCGGCTCTTTGCACTTGTGCAGCAGGTGACAAAACTACCGAGCTAAATCCCCAGCCCAAGAACACTTATTTGACTTGAATATTAAGTCTCTTATATATGTAAATGCATGTGTTTTATCATATAAACAACTGACATCTGTTAGGTGAAAGGCTCTCGATTACCTATTAGCTCGACATTTTGCTGTATTACCCCAACACCAAACAAACAAAAACATTCAAGAAAAATATAGAAAACTATAGCCAAATGGTTAAATCAATAATAATTTTAAATGATATTTTAAAAGAATCAATAATAGTATGAAAGAACAAATATAATCATTAATGGAAAAAGATAAGTTAAATGGTATAAAGAATAGAGACACAAGTTCACTTTAAAAACCTAAAATTAAAGAACAAGATAGGTGAGACAACAGACTGGCTTTTTTTTTGCTCTAACTTCTAGTTTTTGCTCAGTTTTACCTTTCATTGATTTTACATTTGAAAAATAAGTTTAGAAGAAAGGATATGGTTTAGTTTTTACTCCATTGGTATATTTAAAAACCTAAATTTTCATGGGGCTTAGAATTGAAAAAGTTAAGTTTATGAATCTAGAATAAATTGTTTTAACTCAAATAATTCAGTGAACTTGCTTATAAATCACATTTTTATTCCCATGTGGTCTTGTACAGATATGTTAAAGATTGGCAACCAGTGTGCCTGGTGGTTATCTTGTGGAAAGGGAGCCCTGGGGAAAAGCTTATTAATGGTATGTTAATCCTTTTACTGTTGGCTCCTGCCCCAAAACAAAATGAAACAAAAAGCAAAACAAATTCTGAGGTTTAAATTCAACCCTAGGGAGGAGATGTTCTATCCTTTTTCTTACCAGTATCTTTTGGCCATGACTAAATAAGACTAAACATTTATATGATACTGGCACTACTTATATTTTCAATTTGTGATTATTTTTTGATCAAGTACAAAATGCTTCTGGAAGGCAGTCTATGTCATAACTAATAGGCACACCCAGATACACCATGGATGTGATTTCGCTGGTGTCGGGAGCCTGTGGTTGAGTTTTGTGAAATATGGTATTCAATCAGTCAGGACTACAAAGTGAAGCTCCAATTAAAAACTCTGGGCATCAAAGGCCAGGTGATATTCCTGGTCAGTAATCCTCATGGGCACTGTCACACACCAAAGCCAGGAGGTCAATGGGTCATAACTTACTGAAGAAGAAAATAAAACCCTCCCAGACTGTGTCCTATTTATCTCTTATTTTAGATGATTTTTAATTTGTATCATTTCCATGTAATAAGTGGTAACTATGAATAGAATAGCTTTCAGAGAGGTCTATGAAAACTTCTAGCCAATTAACAAACCTGATGTGTGTGAGCATGCATGTGTGCACTGGTGCATGCACTCCCTTCTGTTGTCCATATTCATTTTGGATTTTTAAAATGCCTTTTAAGAATGACAGCGCTTTATAAAACAACTGAAATTTCCCACAGTACTATTGTAGTAAGCAAATAATTCCCTTAGCCTGCACTTAGGACTCTTCAGCAGCATAATAGGAGTCCTGACATGCCAAAAAATTCACAGATAACACTGGGTTACTAACAATCCTGAGTGCTCTAGAATTTGCCTAGGAAATAGGAGGAATTTGTACCTTTGAACTATAAACAAAGAAACTCCAACAACATCTGATTTTAACATATGTTTATATACATATCTTGATGACTAGGAAGCCTGTCCTGACAAAAAGATTACAGGATAAAAAGTCTTATTGGAACTCTCAATAAATTTTTCCTACTCTTCAAAAAAAGTCTTATTGGAAGCAGGCTGTATTCATTTTAAATTTGGTCTTCTTTTACTGTAATAAAGCTTAATCTGTTCTTTTCATATTCTCTCTCAACATTAGGCATATGTGAAAAGGTAATAATATTGTTATTTTATTATTAGGCATTTAATGTGGGTAATTTCTTCCTTCATTTGAATTTTCCATGATAGTTACAAAGTTCCATGAACTACTACAATTTATTTGCCAAGTTATTATAGCAAGCATGAGTGATGCTTGAGTAATGACATACTTTGAAATATCTATGGCCTAAGTTGTTGTACCTATGTTTTATGTTACTAATAACATAATACCACAGACTGAGTGAGTTTTAGGGAGAGGAGGTTTATCTCAGCTCACCATTCTGAAGGCTTCAAGTCCAAGATTAAGGTGCCCCATTGGTTCAACCCCTAGTGATACCCTTCTTGTGGTGGCACAGGGCATCACAGGGTGAGGGACAGGAGACCCACATGTGTATGTATGTGATCTCTCTCATTCTTCATATAAAGTCACCAGGATTCAATTATAGGGGCTCAAACTTAATGAATTTATCTAAGCCAAATCACCACCCAAAGGCCCCAACTATAACGTCAAAATAATATTCTCCCCTCTTAATTCTTCAAAATGGGGATCAAATCTCAACAAATTGAAGGCTTGTAGGATACACTCACTAGAAATATATTCAAACCATATCTGAAACAGAAAAGCCAGTTTCATCTATATAAAATTGGAATCTCTCCCCGTTCCTTAACCAATTACCTCATGTATTAGTCACTTACTTCACACTGGGACAAAATATCTGACACCCATTATTTAAAGGGAGAAAGGTTTATTTTAGCTCATGGTTCAGGACTAGCTTTAGTCCAGGGTCAGCTGGCTCCAAGACAGGAAAGATACAATGGAAGGACATGCAGAGGAAAGCTGTTCAAGCCATCCCATCTAGGAAGGAGAGAGAAGGGAGGGGCTGAGGACAAGAATATACCCTTCCAGGTCATGGCCCCCATGACCCACATTCAAAAAGGCCCCACCTCCTTACAGCACATTCAGCTACTGAATTCATTAATAGATGAATCTACTGATGAATATAGCAGCCCCACAAGCTTCTATGACTCTATAACTATTGCATTCTCTATGCCTGTAAAACCAGCACCATGTGGATGACATAGTCTGCCACCCCACAATCCAATCAATCACCTTCCAAGAACATGAGATTTAGGGAGGGAGATTTTATTATCTGACCCATAACATTCTGCCCCTGGCCCCCAAAAGGCACATGTCCACATCATTATGCAAAATGCATTTAGTTGATCTCTAAGGGTTTCCAAAATCTTACCAGTTCCAGCATGGCTGAAAAGTTCAAGTCCAAACTCTCCTCTGAGATTAAAGGCAAACTCTTGGGTGTCAGCCCCTGAAAAAAAATAAAAAAGAAAATTAGATACTTCCAATATACAATGATTACCACAGGGCAAACATTCCTATTTCAAAAGGGAGAAATAGAGGGATAGAAAGGAATAGGACCAAAACAAGACTAAAACCCAGCAGGGAAAACATTAAATCTTGCAGCTCTGTCCAGAACAAGTTGTGGTGAGATGTGAGCTCCTGATGACTGGATTACCCTACCCCTGTGACATTGCTGGTTGCAGCCCACATGGCCTCTCTGTTGGACTGCTTCTGCTCACTGACTGTGGCTTTCCTCAGCAGATGTTCGACAATACATTCCATGTTTCTGGCTTCTCCATCTTCCTAGGGTTGCCACTGCACTTTGGGCTGCACTCTCACAGCTTCACCCACTGCCATCTTAGGGGCCTACTGCCCAGCCTCCTAGGCCTTCTTCTGAAGTGTGGGTGGAAGCCTTTAAGACCCTGTAACTATTGCATTCTCTATGCCTGTAAAATCAGGACCATGTGGATGATGCCATGGCCTGCCACCAGCTAAAAAGTATCCAGTAGCTACACTGACTTCTGAGTACCTGGCTAGCTCAGCATGTTTAAATGAATCCTGGGAACCAAGTCCCTAGGTTGCCTTTCTACAGTAGGGGGCCCAGGGGTTCTCTTTTCAAATGAAAGAAATCTTTACAGCTGGGTGTGCAGCCCAGTGGTACAGTGCTTGCCTAGCATGCTCAAGGCCCTTCATTCAATCCCCAGTACCCCCCGCCCCAATCCAAATCCAAATGAAAGCTTTACAGTTTTACACCCTAGAACCTGTGAAGGGTAGGGTCTTGCTGATTCCTGAGTTCCCTTCAAGCCATCTTTCCTATTGTCATGAGGCAAAGTACTTGGCTTCTTTTGAATGTTAATCCTTTCAACAACCATGGTCTCTGTGGCTCAATTTTGTAAACTCTTTCTGATGAAACTGCGAACATTTCACACCTGCTTTTTGTTCCTCATTTTTCACTACAGATCAGGCTAAAAGCAGCTAAAAGAAGCAATACCTATGCCACAGCCTGAACCTTTTACTGCTTTGAATATTGGTCTGCCAGATTAATTAGTCTGGTACCCTTAATCTCAGTCTCTCACAAAATTTTAGGACATGGGCAAGATGATGACAATTTTTTTGTCAGGGTGTAACACACACAAGGCTTCTAGTCTACCTGCCAGTGGAGTCCTTGTTCCTAACTGAAACCTCCTGAGCCTGCCCTTTACTGTCTGCAATCCTATCAGCATTCTGATCTTCTGTGTTTTAACTGGAATCTCTCATCGATCTCTGTTTATTCTGCTTGTAACAATTTAAGGCTTCTGCAGCCAGGATTTCCAAACTCTGCCAAACTCTTCTCATGAACTTGTCCAAAAGCTTCTGAACCGCATGCTCAGGTATAATCACAGCAACAACCTCATTTCTCTGGTACCAATTTCATATTAGTCACATATTGATGGTACAAAATACCTGATACAACCTAAATGAGAGGTTCATTCTAGCTCACAGTTTCAAGTCCACGGTCAGTAGCTCCAGGATAAAAAAAGCCATGGAAGTGCATGGCACAGGAAAGCTGTTCCTCATCCTATCCAGGAAGCAGAGAGAGAAGGGAGGGACTAAGGACAAGAATATATCCTTAGGTCATTCTCCCAGTGACCCATTTCCAACTGGACCCCACCTCCTAACAGCACACCCAGCTACTAAACTCATCAGTGGATGAATCTACCAATGAATATAGGACCCCCATGATCCTATCACCTTCCAAACACATGGGACTGTGGGGGACATTTTAGATCTAAACAATAACACCTCACATGAAATATTATTAGGAAACTATTTTATAATGGTGATAGTTTCCATTTGTACTTCAGCTATTACCTGACATGCTGACAAATGCCACCCACTCAGCCATGATATCCACTAAACTCTGTGACAACTACTACTAAATTCACTTCAAAGGAGAGGGCAGAATGGGAGAAAATTCACACACCTACTCTGTTCCAGATGTGAGTGCAGGCCCATGTCTTAATCCCCTGCAACATAAATAACACTGAACTGTTGCACTTAATAGCTTGAAAATATTAAAGAGGAATTAGAACATACAAAAGGAAAATAATAAAACAGAAATAGAGATTTGTCCTAGAATAAATGGGTCACTGCCTTGCACACAGGACCTGTAACTATTTTCCTAGGCCCAAGGCCCAACTCTGAGGCTTCCAATGAACCGGGTCTGATCACTTGTCCCAAGAGGCCAATTGAAGAGACTAATGGTGGTAAAGACAGGAAAGAGATATATTCCCAGTGTGGCCACACTGGGTAGAAAAACAGCAGTCTAGTGACTGAAAATCTATCTCCGGAAGGGACTAACAACAGCCTGGAGACTAATTCTGCAGAGCTGGTCATCTTGGTCAGGACATGGTCTGGTAGATCATTATCTCAGGATAGTCAGGCAGGTGGGGCCTTGTTGGTGGGGCAATGTTGACTCTTGTCATGGAATGATTATCCATCAGACCTATTTTCTGAAATCCAAGATGAGTGCAAGAGAGAATGACTCAGAGAAAGAGCAAGTCAAAATGAAAGAAGAAATGCCAGGCTTTTATCCTCCTTTTAGTTACCCTTTGGCCATCTGCAGGCCCAAGGGAAATACCAAAATAGCCTCTAAGTACTTGTCATAGATCCCCTCAAAACATTTCCCACTTTAGCCCTTAGTATTCACAAATTATCAATGCCATCTTATCTTTCATAATCATGTACCTTTATCATTTCTTCCATACCCAGGCAGATTCCATCAACAACAACCAAGAGAAAGTATGAAGTCCTTCTCTTTCCTAGTTCAAGGTTTATTTCTTCCTCCAGGAAATTGACAATGGGTGTGCCATTTTTTTCAGGAGATATTTCCCCACCTTCACCTCCAAGGATTATTTGGTTGCATAACTTATACAAAGTAGACCTCATAGTTGACAGTACCCTTCCCTAAGTCATGCTCACTCAGATATAAATGGTTTCACATATAGCTATTAATTATACAGTCCATGATAGGCTGCAACACTCCAGTGCAATGTTCATTTGAAATTAGACCCACATATCCCCTCTGGCATGGTCTTTGTCTTGTAGCTTCACATGAGGAAATAACAGAATAAAAAGGCACTCATCACTCAAAAATAATTCTTTTTGAATTAGTAAAAAGATATCTTTCTTCTAGCTCTTTTGAGGCTACATTCTATAAAGAGTGAATACAGTCTAGATTGCTAAACAAAACTTAATAACTCAATTGGAAATTTCTTCATTCAGGTCAGATACTTCATACAATGGCCAGATACTTGTTTACAACAACATGGTTTTATTTTATCTTTCTTTCTTTTTTACATATATATTTGTTTATTGGAGTACAGGTGATTGAACCCGGGAATTTGCTTATACTAGGCAAGCACTATTCATCTAAGCTACATCCCCAGCCCAGCAACATGGTGATAAAGTTCAGCAAAGGAACCATGCCCAGGAAAAAAAGTGGAGGATGGTTTCAAGTTCAAGGGCAAATTCCAGTTCAATGACTCTCACTACTTTCCCAAATGGTTTTCAAGTTTCAACGGGTTCCTTGAGGCACCAATTACAATGGGGTATGATTAGCCTCCTGATGAATTTTGGCTGGTTGAACTCTCTGGTACTTTAGTTGTTCAGAAGGTCAGTTAATGCTGCAAAGAGCCCAAAGTCCAGAAACTCTGGTTATGGTGAAAAATATGTTTGTTTTCTATTTCAAACAGTAGATACTTCTTTCCTGACAATATTCTATTTAATTTATTCTGTAGTAGAAATACTCATAAATATATCTCTACCCTAGAAATGGCTGAAAATATAGGTAAAATGATATGCTGTGGATTACTCAGTATATGCATCAGTGAAGTAGGACCGTTACTGAATGGAAGCTATTGAATATCAGACATTTCTTAGGAGAGCAATTATAATAGTATACACTATGTAAGACCCTAGATGTGGCCTAATTTTTCCATGAAAGTGTTACTTAGATCATAATATGTCCATTTTATTCATCTTTGTAAATAACTACTGCCAAGGCCAAACTTATAAAAAATAAATTTTAAAAAGCACATTTGAGGTTTATAGATTATTTTTCCTTTCTAATAATGTCTACAAATTTTATTCATTTTAATTTTAAACTTATTTTGCAATTATTTTCAGAAATTCCTAAGATAGATTCATAGTTTTCAAAAGTTATTTTAATGATAAAAACATTTATATCTAAGAAATGGTCTCTGAATATAGGAATAATCCAATGTGTTATCTCATTATCATCAACATCCAAATGATCTGCAATTTTCCTTTTAATTTTCTTTTCTGATCAAACAATTATTTAGGAAAGCAGTTGCTTTTTTTTCCAATTTAAAAATGGTTATAATTTAGTGCATTGTGTGATCATTTTGAGAACATAGCCAATACAAATTATACCTTTTGCAATATTTTACTTTTGGCTTACAGTATTATTTAGTGGATGTAAATGTTTCATGTGAATATGAAAAAAGTAAATATCCAATATCTATATTTTACAGAATAAAATGCATTTACCATGCTTGATGAGCTCAAGAATAATTTGACTTGGCAGAACACTGAAGAATAAATCAGTCAATTGAGGTGGACGTCCTATTGAGGTCCCGAGTCGCGCGGAACATGCCCAATAAGCCCGCTGCAGACAGGCAGGCCTGCGCAAGCCCTACCCAGGTTTCCAGTCACGCAGAACACACCAAATCAGCCTGCGGCCCGGCAACAATCCACTGGACCGCCCCCCGCCCCCCGCCCACTCCTCTGTTCAGCCACCTGGTTCCACACTACAAAGACGCAGAGGACACCGGACCAGACCACGGTACTGAGTCCGCCGCTCCTGGGCCAGAGGTAGGGGATTCTGAGTCCTACTGCTCCTGGCCCAGAGGAAGGGGCTTCCGGGCCACCATCCCTCCCGCCGCTCTCAGCCCAGAGGAAAGGGCT